TAGACATTTTCATTAAATATAAGTAAATAGACAAAAAAAGATGACATGAGTTCCGTAGAAAATTTTTGGGACTATGGCATGTTAAATATGTTCCAATGTTGACAAAAAAAATGACGAATGCAATTTTCTAGATGCTTTGAAATGGACCTGGTTGTTTGTTGTAACTTTGAAAGCACAATTTCATAAACCTTATTGGTCCGAGTTATTCTTACTTTATACCAAGGAATCGTTGCATCAATCTTGTTTAATCTCCTTTTACAACCATGGTTTTCAAAACCGGATTGGACTAGACGGTTAGACTGGAAAAACTGGGAACTGGTCACTTGATCGGTTCCGTTTTTCCCTAAAATCGTTGATTTTGGTTTGCAAACCGCTGAGCTGGCCAGTTAATTGTTCAAACCGTTCAAACCGTTTGAACGGTTTTGAACGTTTTCTAATTTTTTAATTTTTTATGTCAGAATGGGCTGACCGTTCAGGTTGAACGGTCAGACCATTCGAACTAGTAACCGGACCCCTGACTGGTTCGGTCACCGATTTGTTTTTAAAAACCATATTGACAACATTGCATAATAAATCTAAAGTCTAACCCAAAGAAAAATACTTTTTACTTTATCTATCCATGATAAAAGGGTACTTACATACATTGCCATCTTTTGTTTTTTTTACATACATTTTCATCCTTTGTTTTTCATTGGTTAATTTTTCTGTTCAACGGTTTTTGATTATCTTTATATTTAATTATTATTATTTTTTAATTTATTTGTTAAAACATACTATGCATTCAAACTGAATAGTCGAACCGTTGACCCAAAAACTGGTGACCATAACAGTTCAGTTTCTGGGTTGTTTTTTAAAGCGATGATAATAAAGTGTTATAACGTTCTTGACGTGGTAAGCAAAAGCAAAACCTTAATTGATTTCCTATTGCTAATATTAGAGCTTGGTAGTCTTTTCAAAAGACTATTAATAGTGGCAATAGATGCTCTTGAAAGGAGAGAGCGTGTCTCCGTGGCATGAAGTATATGGAATATTATATCTTCTAGAATAATTAAAATGTATCATCTGTTTTTGCACAATCTTGCACAATGGCCCTGAGCTCTCATGAACAAAAGAAAAAATCAATTTGCTTATTTAAATATTACTCATATTGGTTAATTTGTCCAATTTGTAGTTAAAGGTTTTCATATGTTTCTACGTTTAGTTAATATTTACCTTTCAACCAACTCTTCTCGTAGCCCTTCCAAAGCAAAAAATATCGTATTTTAAGATTTATTTTTTCTATACTCATTAGCCCCTACAATGCAGGGCCCACCCCACTAGTAATATAATTAAAAGATATATTGTCAAAACTGGACTGAACTGGATGGTGGGACTAGAAAAAATTGGAAACTGGTCACCTGATTGATTCCTTTTTACCTCAAAACTGTTATTTGGCCAAAAACTGTTGATTTGGTCGATGAATCATCGACTCTAATAGTTGAATTATTGAACTGTTCGACCTATGAATGGTTTTTGGTCGTTTTTTAGGTTTTTGAAATTCTATTTTGATTTTTTTTTTAGAACAGGCCATTCATTCGGATTGGATGGTCAAAATGTTCGATCCAAGAATTGGATCCCAAAATGGTTTCCTGTCTGATCCGGTTTTAAAAACCTTGATTAAAAGTGCATTAAGAACATCTCTTCATAAATAAAAACATATAGTAGAGAAAATGTTCCCAATGTATAGCAGCAATGTGCTGCGTGTGGTTGGTATGACGAGGCAGATCTGTTCTCTCTTTAGTGCCCAGTGGAGTGTTTAGTTGAATGGTTGTTGTTTACTATTTGATTATCACTATCGGTTCCACGTTACTATAAAGAACTCTCTTTTGAATTATTATCTTATACATTCTCCATAAAAGAGATGTCCTACATGTATACATACATGCATATATTGAAGATCTCTTTAAAGACAAAAGTTTATTCAGGTAGTTATGACTAGTTTTAGATGTCGTTATCTTAGACAAGTGAAAAAACAACCTATTGCAATTATGAAAAACATTTTAAATATAAGGATGCTATTAGGCCAATAATAATTGAACCATGCTGATTTTTGGTACAGAGAATGTTTCATATAGAGCCAACATCTTGATATTTTTTCCTGATTCAGATTAACTATGCAATATGTTGAATCAATGATTTAGGGCTCACACTAAAAGCTCTTTATTTTCCTAAAGCATTTTTCAATATTACTTTAATGACTTTTAATATTCATTGAAACATCGTAAATGCATTAGAAAAATAAAACAATGAAAAAAGTAGGGTGGTGCCAAACAAGTGTAGTATGTATTAGAAACTAGGCTCCACTCTGACATGATTAAAACTACATGTATGTCTTGGATACATCAAACCCGTGATGCTGTTTTATAGGTTGTCGGTTATACAGGTATTATAGGTGATACAAAATTATATTAACGTGTTGGAACACCATTCATTATGGTTGCAGTGGTTTGTTGGGACGTTCTTGGGAGCATTCTATCAATAGCATATCCCTACTCCTATTCATTCTATAGGATATATACACCTCTGTTTTGCATTTTATGGGAGTTGAGGTCATAAATGGGGCCAGGGGGTCAGAAAATGGCACATACGGCTTTTGTTAGGGCAAATTGATGCTCACACTGTTTGATCAACAGCCCCTTCCAACCTTATATTAAGAATATCTCATTAAAATAAATCACATGAATATGGAGATATTCCCAACGTAAGACTACTGTAAAGCCTGTTGAAACTCTGCTCTGATCGAAGCCTGATTACATAAAAAAGACTAGATATAATCGTAAAAAACTAACTGAAGCCTGATTACACAAAAAACTAACCAATGACTAAACATAATCGTAAAAAAATTAAAAAAAAAAGACTAGATATAATCTTACTTTACAGTTGTAATACACTTACTTGAACTTTACACTCAAGACATTAAAGTTATCAAAGTATTTTAGGGTGAATTACAAGATCGACCCTCCTTGTACTACAGGGTCAGTGACAAAGTTCCCTCTGTACTTTTTTTTTCGTGAGAAGGATCCCTAAACGTTGACAGTTAGACAAAGACCCTCTTCTGTTAGGGTTCCGAAAGAAAAATTCAACTGTTTAATTATTGTCTTCTCCATTAAAGTAAACTGAAATGGCCATATCGTGATGGAGCTGTGTGCTGGCGATGAATTATTTGATGGCATCATTCAACGAGGACACTACAGCGAGAGGAAGGCAGCTGAGTTGACGAAGATTATTGTTGAGGCTGTTGAAGCCTGCATTTGCTGAACCCAGAGAATTTCTTGTTGGTTAACAAAGACGATGATTTCTCTCTTAAAGCCACTGATTTTGGTCTCTCGGTCTTATTTAAACCAAGCCAAGTATTTACCAATGTTGGATGTCTGGCTCCGAAGGTACTTTGCAAGCATTATGAACCAGAGGCAGGAGTGGTATTGTATATATTTCTTAGTGGTGTTCTAGCTTTTTAGGCAGAAACTTAGCAAGGAATTTTTGATGCAGTTCTAAAGGGAGTTGTTGCCTTTGAATCAGACCCCTTGCCTCTAATCTTAGACAGTGTCAAGGATCTTATTAGGAAGATGCTCTGTTCTCAGCGCTTGACTGCTCATAAAATACTATGTCATCCATGTATTTGTCAAAATGGAGTTGCTCCTAACTGAGCATTGGATCCGATTGCCCTTTTTTGCCTGAAACAGTTCTCTCCTGGTTTATGAGAGATGTTTAAGGCAATGGATACTAACAATAGCGGTGCAATCACATTTGATGAACTAAAAGCTGGTTGGAAAAGATATGGCTCTAACAATAGTGGAATTGGAAGATGAACTGTGAGGAACAGTCTGAATATGGGCAAGATAGATGCACCACCAGAATCTCATTAGCCTTTGATTATGCACAACATGTACAAGGATATTGGCAAGTTGTACAGCAAGGCCTGAAGAGAATAATCGATGGTAATGACTTCAAATATGCAAGTTTGGTTTGTATCCATCTCCGAAACATTGAGACATATTACAGAAGCTTCAAGAATGAAGGTTCTATGATTGAGCATTTTGTTAGTCATGCCTGTTTGTGGCCAAATAATTGGAAAAAAGAAAATCCATCTGACTTCATTGAATATATGCTTCTCCCATTTGAAGTTTGAAGTTTTACTTGTCAAAAAAATTTGTATCGTTTCTTCTCCTTGTTATCGATTATATTGCTGATTCTGTAAAAAATTATTAATTTTGTTTGTGTAATAGGATGTGATGTTTGGTGGCACCGAGACCATGGTGTCAACAATGGAGTGGGTCTAAAATGAAGAGTTCAGGAGAGTAACTAAATAAGCTTTGGGTTAACCAACAAGGGCATCGGAACACGCCCTTATAAATCTTCATGTAGATGGCCATGACGTTGTGATCATGGAAGGAAAGATAACCAGCCATCAAAACAAACAAAATCACTCGGCCAAGAGGAGATATCCACCATATAGGTATTTTTGGGTCAATGATATTTTAACATTATGTATTGTAATTTTAATAACATTATGTATTGTAATTATTCATATTTTAATAACATTATATGTAATGTCATTTTTCAAATATTTTAATATTTGAATGTGTGTTAAAATATTTAAAAGATGGTACAACAATTTTTTTTGAAAAGCTAATTATCTTTTAGTATTTCCATCTTTTTCTCTATTTTTATGTATGTATGCACCTGCCTGCTTATTTGTTTTGAAGAAAAACCATTAGCCTTCGTCCATTTCTTAGAAAATCAATTACAGAGACCGTTTCTCTACTATTATGTCCTATAACCGCTGGCAAGTAAAAAAGGGAAAATTTCAAATTTCAATTTAATACCTGAATTTTGTGTAGTGTCAAATTAGTATCGGAACTTCAATCTAGCTTTATACCTTTCAACTGAACCATCTGCCCGAGTCTTGATTTTGTATACCTATTTGCAATCAATCACGGATTTATCTGGAGGCAGGTCAACTAAATCCCAAGTATGAGTGCTTGTAAGAGCTTGAATTTCTTCTGCCATAGAGGGTCAGTACTAGCCCTGCGATAGGTACAAGGCTCATATAAAGATACAATGGTAGAATAACAATGAAAATCACGAAGAAGAATGGAAGGTTTAGTGACCCTACCAGAGCGATGGAGTGAAACATCAGAATGAGTAGAGTCGAATTCATCAGGAGGAATCAAGGGCTCAGAAGAAGGAAGAGCTGGAGGATCCATAGCCAAGGTAGATGCATTAGGAGAGGTTGCAGGTTGTGCAGTACTATTAGAGCTATCAGAGGAAGAAGTAGTTGGACTTGCAGGTAAATCATCAAGAAAAAACGAGATAGTAGGATCAGTAAAAAATGTGAAGATGTCGTGGTAACTTGAAATGGGGAGAGACTGAAGAACATTTTGTGTTCCCAAAAAGTAACATGACGAGATATGCGAAGTCGTTGGGAAAGAGGATCCCAACACCGATATCCTTTACGTTCAATACCATACCCGAGAAAACAACATAGACATAAGGAGAAATGTTACCAATAACAGGAGAAGGAATGTGATTGATAGTATAAACAATAATGAGGGCTACTTCCCCCCAAAAACGTTCAGGACAAGAGGAAGAGATTAAAAGAGCTCGAACAGTATCAAGAATATGCCTATGTTTTCGTTCTGCACGCCCATTTTGTTGAGAGGTACCAGGACAAGATCTATGAATGATAGTTCCATTTTGTGAAAGGAATTGGATAAGGATAGAACCTCTGTATTCCATGGCATTATCAGTGCGAAAAATCTTGATGATAGAGGAAAACTGAGTTTTGATCATGGTGGCAAATTGAATATAAATTTCAGGTAATTCAGATTTATTACGCATGAGATAAATCCATATATATCGAGAGAAAATCATAAAATAACGCGAACCACCCATGGTATTATGAGGCGAAGAGCCCCAGATATCAGAATGAATAAGATCAAAAGGTGTAGAAGAAACAAAATCACTTATATCAAAAGGCAAAACATGATGTTTTGAAAGAGGACATGAAACACAATCAAAGTGTGTTGGTTTAACATGACCCAAACATCCATTAGAAATTAAAGATCCTAATTTAGAGGTAGAAAGGTGACCAAGGCGATAATGCCAGACACTAGAGGTGACAGCAGCAGCAAGAGATGGTAATTGAAGAAATAATAACTCAAATAGTCTCCTAACCTTACGGCCTGTCCCAATAATCTTTCCTGTACGTGAATCCTGCACAGTACAACCACGATTTGAGAAATGTATTTCAAAACAAAGTTCACATAATTGTCCAACAGATATAAGATTTAGAGATAATTGAGGTACCGAAAAGGTGTTAGGAAGTAACAAGCGAGATGTTGAAATAGTGCCTATACTTTTGACAGTTAAGGTGGAACTATCGACAATATGAACAATTGGTATAATAGAAGGATGTGACTTGGAAGTGAACAGTGATGAATTGGATGTCATATGATTGCAACAGGCATAATCAAAATACCATGATGAGGTAATACCTAGAATGACGGACAATACTGAATTAGAAGGCATACTAGAATCAGGTTGGAGCTGGTGAAGAAGAGTTTGAAGTTCTCTAAGAGAAAATTTTGGAGAGGTGTTATCAGAAGAATTCTCTGTGGTAGCAGTTGCAGTAGAACTTGAAGCTTGAGAACTCATGGATGAGGACTTCTGTCCATACGCCTTTTTGGTTTGCAAGCGGTGGCACTCAGAAATAGTGTGACCAGTCTTCTTGCAGTAATTGCAGAAAGTCCGTTTTGAAGATTTAGTTGAAGAAGTAGCGGGCATACCTGGAGTAGCAAGAACAACATCAGTAGATAATAAGGATCGCTCATCTCGAARTGTTTTTAGACSAGYTTCTTCAGAAAGCAAATCTTTGATCACAACTTCAAGAGAAGGCAATGGGCTACGATGAAGTAGAGTACCACTAATAGGTTCATACTCATCCCTGAGAGTCATCAGAAGATGCCAAACACGTTGGCGATCGCGAAGCTTGGAATAAGTAGTAGCTGCAGAAGTACTATCCCATTCAGGTTCACATTGTGCTAACTGATCCCAAAGAACTTGTGATTCAGAGACATAACTGTGAATGGTCTGTCCAGGTTGCCGCTTCATACGGTGAAGACACCTATAGAGCTGAAATTGATGCACATCATCGGAAATAGAATAACGGGCTTGTAAGAAATCCCATACCTCTTTAAGAGAGTCATATCTGCGAAATTCCAACTTGATGCTTGCAATACAAGTATTGCGAAACCAGGTCAATATTTGATGATTTTTCCCGTCCCATTTTTCTATTTGTTCAGCAAATTTATCTTCTGTTTCATCAACAATTTTAGTAGGTTTGGGAATCTCACCAGTCACATATTGCCATAGAAGACGTCCCTTGAGAAAACTGCACATCTCTTGAGACCATAAATCATAGTTTTAGCCATCGAAGGTAACAGTGATGGGATGAGAGATATGTTGAGCAGTTTCAGATGAATCCATGAGGAAAAACACAGATCTTTGGAGCAACACGAATCATGGGAAAATATTGACCTTAAAAAAAAACTTCGCAGAATCCCTAATGTCTTCTTCGTCGGGGCAGCCTCAGTTCTGGTACACGCAGATGCTGACGAAGGTTTTGCACCTACGTAACCTTCCTTTCTAATTCACAGACCACAAGATGTGAACCGTTGGTTTAAGTAGTGGGTTAGTCTGGCTTAAGCAGAAGAAAGGAGCGCAAACACCTAACACAGCACACCTTCAAGTGCATCGGGAAGCAGGTCTCGTGCGTGAATGAGATCACCGGTTCGGTACTTCTTGAGGAAGCTCAAGAAGTTCTGACGAAGAGGAAATTCGACTGCGTCAATCAACGACACGACCGAATTTCTTCCAAGAGGGAATTCGACGACTATGGTTCTTCTGATGAAGATTTCTGCGACTTAGTCTCTGTAAGAATGAAGAGAGAAGAAGCTGATGTCGTCAATTCCTCCGGAGTAGAAATTGAGACTCGATTATCACCTAGCAGCAAAGCCGATGATGAATCTTCCGGTCTTACACGCCAACTCCGGGGATTCTGTTGAATCTGTTCATGAGCAAATTCGAAGGATAACCGGGATTCCGATCATCGAGCAGCGTTTGATTTACCGAGGGTAGCAGCTCCAATGGGAGCAGACGCTCGCCGAGTGCTCGATCCAGAATGACGTGGGGCTCCAGTTGGTTGGGCGAACAAAGGATAAACCTCAGGCCTCAACCATCGATTGACAGAGGAAGCCATTGGACGCTGCTGCAGGACGGAAGAAACGAGAGCGGACGGACGACAACGAAAGTAGCGGACGACTCGCAACTAGGGGCCCTGTTGCGAACAAACTTCCTGAGAGTGTGCTCAACATATTTCTCTCCTTCTGCAAAGTTCTCCAACACTCCTGCAGTTTTGGTTTCCTTGCTAACCCTGACTTCTGGGTTGATGCAGATATTGCGCACCAACTGAAATCCGCAAATTCCTACAACAACTCCAATTGCGGCGAACAAAGGAGCAAATGCTCTGATACTATGATACGAAACCAAGAAAGACGAATGGAGAAGATAATAATTTCTCTTGATCTATTCAATTCAATAGGCTACAACTCTATTTATAATAGAGCTAATTATAATAGGGAAACAAGGTCAGCGACCTAAAGTAGGATACAATAAGGAAAGAAATAAGAGATACGAAGATAAGATATGTATAGCTATATCTCTTAGAAGGAAGGAGATAATGATACTAATTTTGATAGAATACGCTAACAATGGAATAACTTGAGCTTCCTCAAAACAAATCGTCATAGTTGTTCAGTGTTCACTTGGATATTTCCTGATATTTTTGCAATCTGTGGTTGTATCGTTCAGACTGCTGTTGGCTTGCTGCTGACAGAGGCAACAAAGGAGAAACCTTCCATTGGCACGGTGAGATTTATTTCTTCTATTACTTTAAAGGTCCTAAATCGTTTTGTAATTAGGGCGGTGGTTGTAGTAGGTAATAGGGAGGAGGGAAGTTGTATGAGAATTCTTCCATGCATAAAGTAGAACAGAGACTGTTGTTCTTTAGGCAGGAACAAGAAGTATCATTGACATCTGTTCCTCTGTTTAATGAGTAGAATTGGATTGATAAGTCGCATATTAAGTGAAGTCCTGAACATATTCATTCATGTGGTGCTAAGCAGGTAATTACAGTAGGACCTAGTCCTCTGGATGAACAGGGTAACGGAAAGCCACTGACTGTTTCACCGGGAAACACAGTATTGTATTCTAAAAGTATTTATTTAGTTTATAGAGAGACTGAGCGAGATATTTTTTTATGTGCGGTTTATTGTCTTCTTTCTTATAAGGAAAATTAGATAATGTTCAAAGCGCATTTTTGTCATTTTAATTTTTATATATCACTTAACGATTTTAGATTAAATTGACAGTTTTTGAAAGTTTGAATACTAATTTAACAATATCCCAAAATTCAGGATATTAAACTGAATTTTTTTCTAAAAAATCTCAATTAATATATATCTTTTATTTAAATTAATATAAGCATGTGTGCATAGAAGCCAAGGCAAGAATCCCAACAAACTTGGCCAAGTTTCGGGAGAATGTATGACGACCGGCGGGTGCGAGCGAATCCGCGTCACCTGCTAACAAAGTACATTCCAACACCCTATCAATAATAATTGACACCGCACATCTTATATATCCCGGGTTACATGGCCCCAATTTATAGTAAAATGTACAGTGTTAGATAAAGTTGGTAGGGTGTTGGAAACTTGTTTTGTTGGCAGGTTGGGCGGATTCACGAAATAAATATAAACGCTCAAAAAAATATCTGATCAATCGGAACTCAGGAGTAGTCTCCAAGCTCGCATCTCCGCCCCACCGCCTCTCGCCCCACAAACGCCCCACATGCCGAGCGTCCGCCATCTGTCCTTCCGCACGCGGTCGGCATTCCTGCGTGTTAGCCTAAAACCGAGTCAAAACTCTCATGTACTCATTTCCACATTCCCGCGTGCTTGACCCTCGTTCTTCTCCCCTCACCCGAGCTCTCCTTCTCCGGCACCGGCGACCGATCCGGTCAGCATCTTGACGATCGACAATGGTGTGTTCGAGGTCCTCTCTACCAGCGAAGACACCCACTCGGGAGGAGAAGACTTCGACCACAGAGTGATGGACTACTTCACATCAGCAAGGACAACAAAGCTCTGGGAAAGCTCCATTGGGAGTGCGAACGCGCCAAGCGAGCACTGAGCAGCCAGCACCAAGTCCGCGTCGAGATCAAATCCCTCTTTGATGGCGTCGATTTCTCGGAGCCATTGACGAGGGCGAGATTTGAAGAGCTGAACATGGATTTGTTCAAGAAGACGATGGGTCCCGTGAAAAAAGGTCTAGAGGATGCAGGTCTGAAAAGACGGATATTCACGAGATTGTGCTTGTTGGAGGCAGTACTCGTATTCCCAAGGTCCAGCAGCTTCTGAAGGAGATGTTCGACGGGAAGGAACCCAACAAGGGTGTTAATCCTAGTGAAGCTGTTGCTTATGGCGCTGCCGTTTCTTCCTAAGCATTTTGGTTCTGTTCGTTGTAGACATTCTTTTGCTCGATGTTGCGCCACTTAGTCTAAGGATTGAAACGGTTGGTGGGGTGATGACCAAATTGATCCCAAGGAACACGATTATCCCCACCAAGAAATCTCAGGTTTTTACGACCTACGAAGACCAGCAAACGACTGTGTCGATCAAGGTAGGGAAAAAAAGGATTTTTTTTTCTTTTTTTATTATTATTATTTTTTTCATTTGAGCAACAGGTTTTGTTAGTTGTTTTGGCAGAACTGATTGAATCTCTGTTTCGGGAAAAAAAATTTCGGGTCTATGAAGGTGAGAGGAGCCTAACCAAGGATTGTCATGAGCTTGGAAGATTTGATCTCTCGGGCATTCCACCTGCTCCAAGGTGATTAAAAGCATTACTCAGATTAACATATGGATAGGAATGAAAAATTCAGGAACTAATTATAAGTGATTTGTGTTTTAATTTGAATTGCAGGGGAGTTCCACAGCTTGAGGTTACGTTTGAGGTGGACACGAATGGTATTCTTCATGTGAGGGCGGAGGACAAGGCGGCCAAGAAATCAGAATCAATCACCATAACAAATGACAAAGGGCGTCTCAGCCAGGAGGAGATAGCGAGGATGGTGAAGGAAGCAGAGGAATTCGCAGAGGAGGATAGGAAGGTGAAGGAGAAGATCGATGCGAGGAACAAACTGGAGACGTACGTCTACAACATGAAGAGCACCATCAACGACAAGGACAAGCTCTCTGATAAGATCGATTCCGATGACAAGGAGAAGATCGAGAGCACACTGAAGGAGGCGCTGGAGTGGTTGGACGATAACCAGAGTGCGGAGAAGGACGATTACGAAGAGAAGTTGAAGGAGGTAGAAGCAGTGTGTAATCCGATCATAAAGCAAGTATACGAGAAGAGTGGTGGAAGCTCTTCAAAGTCGCGAGATGAAGATGAATCCAACGACGAGTTGTAGATACAGAAACAGAGTAGACAGTCTTTCACTTACCGTATCTCATGATTTCATCCTCTTCATTTTTTTGTTTTTTTTTTTTTTGTTCTGGTTCTTGTAAAGTAGAAAACCTGGAAACCAGAAAATGGAAATTTCGGAATACTTTAAAATCTTATATCTCCATCTCCTTGTTGATCAGTTGACGTGGTATCGTCTCATTGGTCTATATAAGAGAATGCATCAAGGGGGAAAAGAACGGGGTCAGGGGAGGTTAGAGGGTTTTGACTCGGTTTTGGGCTAACACGCGAGAATACCGACCGCGTGCGGAAGGACAGATGGCGGACACTCGGCGTGTGGGGCGTTTGTGGGGCGAGAGGTGGTGGGGCGGAGATGCGAACTCGTAGTCTCCAGGCACACTCAGTGTACAGTCAGTAAACACACCAATAGGTATGCCACACGTGTCCTTTTGAATGCCTTCAATTCGCTTGTAGAATATTCAATCACACTTTCAGGACAAGTTTCTCTCTATGATTGAAGGCTTATCTAAGTGAGACCGGATCTGCTTCGAACACAGGGCTCTTCACTCGCGCCTCATACGCACATCGTACCATGCATTGGGAATATTTCCCGTATTTATGAATTATTATTTACAGGAGATGTTCTTAATGCACGGTGGATGTTCAGGTGAGGCGCTCCCGTGTGAGGAGCATATCGCGTTCCTAAGTACTCACCAACTGTGCCTAGGAGATCTAACAAAGCACAGAACCGGATGATACGATACGATACGATACGACCCGCTTACTATGGGCCATGGCTCTGGTTCTGTCTATTTTCGGTTTGTCTCACTTCTTCCTTTCCCGTCCATACTCTTCTTCTTCTTCTAGCCTCATCCACTTCTTCTTTCCTTAATCGTCATCAGCTTTTCCTTCACTCGTCAACACAATCTACCATTTCTTCGATCACCGTAATTTCAATCTCAGCCCTTCCGGTCTCTAATCTCCATCACTCGTACTAACCTACTCAGCCGAAGCTAGCTCCCCAATTACTTGCACTATTATATTACAGGCGTTCCCTGTTGGACATCGCCGGCGGTGGTGGTGACGAGAAGGACGAGGACATGAGCTTCAGAGAAGAAAACGATGATGGGAGGGATCTTCGCAAGCCGTTCCTCCACACAGGGAGCTGGTACCGGATGAGTTCTAGGCAATCTAGTATGATGGACAAGCTCGGCTCTTCTGCTTACGTCATTCGTGATAATTCTATTTCTGTTGTTCTCTGCGTCCTCATCGTCGCCTTGGGTCCTATTCAGTTTGGCTTCACCGTAAGTTTCTTCTCCTCTCCCACTTCTTCTCTTTTTTTTATTTTTTTGTCATTCTTTGGCGAATTTCAATCATTCATTCAGTTCATTTCTTAATTCTTTCTCTTAGGGTGGGTATTCTTCCCCTACGCAATCCGATATAATCAGCGATCTCAAGCTTTCACTATCCGAGGTTGAAACTTCTGTCTCTTTTTCATTAAGAAAATTGAAAATATTTTTACTGAGTTTAATTGTTGTTTTTTTTTTTTTAAATCTCTTTCCCTTGGTTGCAGTTCTCTGTATTTGGTTCCCTATCAAATGTTGGCGCAATGGTTGGGGCAATTGCCAGTGGTCAGATTGCAGAGTACATTGGGCGAAAAGGGGTATCTAAGTGGTCATTTTTTATTGTTTCCATTTGTCCCAGTAGTTTAGTATCTCTGTTTTTTAATTATGCTCTGATAATGTGAAATTGCAGTCGTTGATGATTGCTTCCATTCCCAATATCATCGGGTGGCTCGCCATATCTTTTGCCAGAGTGAGTAATTTTCAGCAGTGTATTCCTTTAGATTGCTTAATGCTTTCATTCATGTCTTTGATGGGATTCTTACATTCCCCTTCGCTTGTTTATAGGATTCTTCGTTCCTGTTCATGGGAAGATTGTTGGAAGGATTCGGTGTAGGAGTAATCTCATATACTGTAAGCATGAAGTTCCTCCTCTTCTTTGTTGGCTCAATTTCAAACTGTATATGAGAAGCTTTGTATTTATTTACCGTTTTGAAATTCTATAGGTTCCTGTGTATATAGCAGAAATAGCACCTCAGAACATGAGAGGGGGCCTTGGATCCGTGAATCAGGTTGACTAAGTTTCGTTGGCTTACAATTTCAGTGCCGAAGAAAGTGCTTTGGTTATTAATCTCCAGTTCACTTTCCCCTAAAATCGGCAAAATAACCTTTTTTCCATTTCTTTTTTTCCCCTATCTAGCTCTCTGTCACAATAGGAATGATGCTCGCCTATCTTCTGGGGCTTTTTGTTCACTGGAGAGTTCTTGCAGTTTTAGGTAGGTATCTTGATGATCCAAATTGGTAATCTTTTATTTGTGTAAGGAGACAGGCTTACTGTTGTTGGGTCTTGAAAATTTACTAAATGTCAGTCATTACTCATTGCATCTTTAGCTTAAGTTAGTATATGGATACATTTTACACCAGAAAACTTTCTTGTTCACACTTGACTGATGTTCATCGTTCTTTTCTGGCCTCATTTCCCATAGCACTGCTGAAGAAATTGCATATATAGTACCTGAAATTCAATTCTGTTCAGATGATTTCAGCCACTGGTAATTGTGGATTGACTTGTCTTGATATTTCTGGTTTAGAAAATTTCCAATCTTCTCCTAATTTCCCATTTGTGAGAGGCCCACACCTTTTTTCTGATTGATGGGAAGGTCAAATTATAGTTTGGTGGCAGCTCATAAGGGAACCTGAAGCCTTCTAAGACTGTTGTTCAATTGGGATGGCAGCATTTCTTAGGATTTTCAGTAGCCCTGTAGGTGATGCAAATACCCTAATGGAGGTTTTGATTATCTTTCCTGGGTGGGCATGGGGGTGGGAGGAGGGAGTTCATGGGGATAAGCTTACTACCTTAAGTGAAACTTTACATTTCTCTCGGCACTAGTTAGGTGGAATTTTAGGGTGATGAATGCAATGGCAGATGATTTAGTTAATTGAGCATGGATAGGGCTACCAAAGACTCAGTTTCGCAAGGTTTAAAATATTGGTGTTGTTGGAAATGTCAATCACCTAACAATAGGATATATGTTGGAAATATCAGAAATTTTGTATAGAAAAAGTGCTAAAATATGCAAGTTTTGGATACAATCTCATGGTGTATTTGGGAAGAGAGGGATGCTAGAATCTTTTCAGAAAGGTCAAACAATGAAGCAACTTTGATGCAGGAGCTGAAGAGTCAAAATTGAATTTTATGAAAATTTGTATTTCTTGTATTTTTGGACAGTAGGGGTATTTTTTGTTATTTTGCAATTTTCTGTGGGGTCCATTGATAGAGTTTAATTTGTCTAGTTATAGTTTGTTTATGTTTAAGATTTCAGAGTCATTGCATAAGTAGGATTAGAGTTATTGAGTCTTCTTTGAATTGAAATAGGATATGACAGCTTAGTTTGAGTCCTACTAGGATTATTGAGCCTAACAGTTTGACTCCTAAGACTATTATGAGTCTAACAGTTTGACTCCTAGGATTATTATGAGTTTAGAGTCTATAAATATGTATGGACGTTTTACACAAAGGAAATGAAGTTTATTGAGTTTTCTTCAGCTTATGATAGCTATTGTGAGTGATTCCCATGCCCTAGAGTGATTCTAGGCACCCTGTGAGTGATTCCAGGTATTTTCCCTCTTCTTTCTCTCCCTACTTTCTCTCTTATTCCTTCAAGAAGCCATTACAGCCATCAACAGCCATAAAATTCTGATCGGAAGACCATTCAACATTCTCTAAGGACTAGAACTAAGCTGGTCCTACATCAAACTCTTATAGATAATATTGCTCTTAAGGTTGTTTATTGGTGTTAAAGTGTTTAATGATTTTTCCATGAGGAATTGGAAGGTCGTGGCATGCTCTTCCATGACATGGAACATTAAAAACATCCCTTCCCTCATCCCCTAAAACCATTGTTGAAATAACTTAGTTTATTTTAAGTTTAGTGCCACAAGCGCACCTTTGTAATTTTATCCTTTCTTTTTCTGTATGGTCGCCCTAGTATAAATACCAAATAAACTAGCGCTGCCAGTTGACTTTTGTCTCTCTCAATTCTGTCTCTCTCCTCTCTTTTCTCTCTTCTCCCTTCTCCTTCTCTTCTTTCTGTTCTGGAATCATACCATCTTAGCACCAAGAAAACATGGTATCAGAGCAGCAGATCCAATCTTAGGACCAGGGCGGCAGATCCAATCTTTTCTTTCCTTTTTTGTCTATTGCTGATCGAACCTGTAGGTTTTCAAGACTGCTATTCAGTCTTGATCACTAAGAGATTTCAGGTTCGATGAGAAGAGAAAGTGAAGAAGATGTAGAAGAAAGAGTGATGGAAGAGYAATAGAACACAGATTTTGAGGAGAAGAACAGAATGTCAATATTTCTGCCGCCGCCACTTTAAGTTAATATATATAGGTTATGCTAGTTACATGAAAGGACATATCT